TCATAAAACGCCGGCTTTGGAGCGGAGAACGCCGTGCCTCGCGGCCCAGTATTGGTGGCATGGCCGACATGACTTAGCACGGGCTCAGGCAACGGCATGCTAGAATGATGAGGCAGTAATTTGCTTAATTTGTTCCGACATGATGTTTTGCTCGCTAAAAACAAATACAAATAGAATACATGTAGCAATATTGCAAACATATCCAATTACATATCTCACATTACTTTGGCCTAAGTCAGCTCTCATCTGAATTTAGCAATGAAACTTAAAATTTCAAATCTCTTTCAATTCATTGCATCAGCTATCCAATATCAATCACCATGATAAAAAATCATCCACATCAGTTGCCATCAGTCCACCAACTAAGATCATCTAATCTAGCTGACATCAATCATACGTCATTGGGACAGCTGACGCCAATCATAGTCGAGCGCGACTAAATCTGCCCGTGGTGGGCGCTCGCCCTTTGGGCTGGACGAGAGACGAGCGTGGGCGTTAGGGAGGGGAGAGGAGGGAGGGAGGGATGGAGGAGGAGAGGGGAGGGATGTTGTTCCGGTCAGCCAATTGCTGCAATCACACGGAAGATGTTTTGGGGGTGTAGGTAGGTGGACGGAAGAGAGGGAGTGAGGGAGAGAGAGAGAGAGAGAGAGAGAGAGAGAGAGAGAGAGAGAGAGAGAGAGAGAGAGAGAGAGAGAGAGAGAGAGAGAGAGAGAGAGAGAGAGAAAGAGAGAGAGAGAGGAGAGAGAGAGGAGAGAGAGGGTAAGGCGGTGTGGGGATGCAATTACATCAGTCCACCCGGGATCGTTAGTCTATAGAATGGCCGTACGCTGGCAAGGACATTGGGTCCTGCGTCTTGGAACTGCAGCTGTTTACCAGCTCTGTGTTGGGTCTGCCGCTGGGGATTATCAAGGTATGCCCTCGATAATTTATTCGGACAAAACAAAGCTTTTGTGCACCTTTGTAACCGGTCATATCCAAAATCATCACGTCTGGTCAGCTACCTCTCCCGTGACCGTCGAAATTTCGGGAACAGCCCCCACAACTGTCATGCCCAATACCCGTCATCGAATCCAATATCTGTATCGAATGGGCACCATTTGGACTGCGGCGGATATCAGGCCACGTCTCGCTGTCCATAGATTGTGGCCACAAATTGGCTAAATCGCTTTGAATGCCGGCAACGTCACGGATGATCACGAGGGCGGCTTTCTATGACAAGTCGACCGCCCGGCGCCCGGACCCCTTCTCGGGTTCAGGGCTCATTGACGATGGCTCTGAATGGCCGTGTCAGTAGGAATGGGAATATCGGGAATTATTAAGGTGTACTCGTAAATGGACATATTATTGGACATGCCAATTGTCCGCTGAGTGCATACGAATTCATTACTGATGTGTATGCGCGTGATTGAATTTGATAAGAAGGTGGAAGCAAGGACGCATGATGTGCCTGAGGATGTATGTGCTGCATTTGAGGTGTTTTGGAGGTTGATGGAAAGTTAACTTGATAAAAATGTTGCAACGAATTCAAGATCTAAATGAAACAAATTCTTGTTTGGCATATCATGAAAATAAACGGTCAGGTAAAAAAAGCTCGTTTGCCATCCCGCAAGATACCCAATACCCGTGCATGTGTTATTTTCCCCTCTTTTTATCCTCACGCTCGGATAATCCCCCTCTCCTAGCACGCTATTTCGTATGCATTGAGCCTGCCATCTCCACGTGTGTTTTCTCGCTCTTTCTCTCGCCATCCCATAGACTCCTACGTAAGGTATATTGGCGGATGCTCCTACGCATCTACACGCCCCCCCCCCCCATCCACCCGTATGCGTCTTCCAACGACACTAGACCACGTGACAGGCACACTCTCACCCAGTGAGCAGCCTGTTGTTGGCGGCACCTCCGCGTAGAGACAGACTTCCCCGGCAAACACATTTCCTTAGTGCAGATGCTGTTGTAAATGGATAATTCCTAGAAAACTCCGGAGCTCTGTAGTTCTTTCTCGGGCGGCTCGCCGCTCTCTTACTCTATCTAGTTAGTCTGCTGTTACTAGGGCAGTCTGTATCGGGAGGAAATATGCTGTTGTGGATTAGGAGGACGGCGAAAAAAAAATGCAATCGGAAATCGAAAAAGTGTTGCGGTTTGGAAAGACGCCATGTACGGCATGTGCTGTTTTATTTTATTCAGCCTAGTCACTATGTTACGTTCCAATTTGCCTTTATTCCAAATGGAAAAGTGGCAGCATCTTTACCGGCCAAAACACAAATGCATATGCCGTCGTAACTGCATTAAGCTTTAGAGAAAGAGGAAAACAAAGCCATTCAACGCGTCTTTACCGGAAATTCTTTCCCTGTCTTCTTTCTGAATGTGGTGGTACGCAAACTATAGCTTCAAATGTAGGATAGATGCACCACACCGAAATTCTTTTATTCACATATGACCCATATTTTCAGAAATGAACTTGCTGATGCCGCTTCACTTAGGGCGTAAAATATTTACGAAACGCACTGTTTGAGGCGAATATCATATCTCTGCAAAACTCTACCACTGCATCAAATATGCGGCCATATAGAGCTGTCGAGGCTGTCTGCGAGGCGTCATCTTGCTGGGTATTTCCACAGCGTATAAATGGAAATATGTGATATCTTTTTGGGGATTTTCATGACGAATTAATGGAAATAAAATGGACTGGTAAGTGCATAAGGAATTTGTAGAACCTCTCTGAAAGATTTCTTTGGATTCCCTCTGACAACGATAGATCATTGATAACAATTCTCCCCTCCCCAGACCTACAAGTTTCTCACCTTCCCCTAACCCCATCCAATATAAGAGCTGCAAGTTTCCACCATCACGACCTCATGAATCGGCCGTTGCGGCGCGGCAGTCGCGCCGTCCTGGAACCGTTTCCAAATGTCTAAATCTGGCTGCTCTGATGGCGTCTCACCACAGCCTCTGTATCCAAAAATAACTCCTCCTGGCTCTAGAGCTCAATGGCTTGGTCCGAAGCAACGCAGCGTCGGCGCCGCTCGTCGAGCGACGGGGGCGATGGGGGCAGGCGACGCGACGGGGGCGACGGTCGACGGGCGGGCGGCGGCAGCGGCGGGCGGGCGGCGGCGGGCGGGCGTCCGCCACAGGGGATTTGCGGAGCGGGTTCAAGTTAGGGACGGGGGGGGGGGGGGCATGGCGTCAGTAGATTGACCTGGTTTACGGCGCGGCTCGAGACGCTCCAGAAATGTAGCATGGTGGTCTTAGAGCGTCAGCGGAGCGGCAGCATTTGAAGGCGGAGCCGGGGCCGCGCTGGGCCGCTTTGGTCTGCACGTGACATGAAGTGCAAATGGCTGGATTCGCGGAGCGTGACGGGGGCGTGCCGGATAAAGTGGGGATTTGTTGCTGGCTGGTATATCTTCTGTTGCACGTGTAATGGTGTCATGTATATTGTATGTATTCCTGTGTTTGAGGAGACATGTGGTGCGGTGGTTTAGAATAGTTAGTTATGGAAACTAATCTGTGGGTACACAAGTTTTAAAATGAAACGCCGAACAGTCGAGCCAAAGTTTGGAAAGTATATATTTGGAATTCGTGCAACTAAAAACTGTCAAAAACAATGGCACGCCGGATTCCTCATTCATTGTTCTTACCCACGCCTTGCCAGACTGTGTTGTTGCGAGCCTGTGGTGATATTTTAGCCTCCTCTTTTTTGTCATTATCATTCTGTAATTCTCCTTTCAAATATACAAAACAACAGCCTGCCACCGCTATCGACTCATTTCTATTTTCTAAGCCAGTCGCCACATCAGCTGTAAATCGCTCATTTCAGGCGCTGCCTCTCTCGTGTGGTGCCTATCGACTTATGGCTGCTACGATGGCAGGCAAACAGTCTGGGCTGGGTGAGATAGCGTGTATCGGTTCCCTCTGGTGTCCCGAGCGATTCAATACACTTAAAGTGTTGTTGGCCGCGTGGGAAGAATATTGTTAAGAGAAAGATGAACAGCGATCAATAATGTTCCTGCATCCTTTTTTAGTTTTAGGGAGATGAGTAGCAAAAACGTTCTTTTTTGAAAAGGATAAGTGCATAATTCATTGCTTTCTCATTTGCTGGTTGTGTATCTTTCTCTCTGAAAGAAAAACCTGCGAAAAAGGAATGAGTATTGAGTAGCATGCATACAAGCGGTCGAATGATACCTAAATCAAATGATATGGCGCTCAACGTTAAATCAAATAACTGGCTCGGGCTGCAGGCTTCCCCAGAGTGAGAAGGAAAGACAAAATTCAGGATTTCAGAGGCGGATTCACATTCAAATTCAGAGATAGGATGTGGACACTGAACAATAAATATGCAGTGTCACTAGAAAGGCTCACAGTATCCGTGATATAAACTAATACTAGGTGAGTCTCAGTACAAAAATATACTCCTGAGATGAGGTATCACATGAGAATGACCATAGATAACATGGAATGATATAAACTTTTCTGATGACAGCTGATATAGGTTTAAAAGAACTACTGCGATTTAATAACACAAGCAAAAAAAGGACACAATATTCTAAATAGATGAACTGGAATGTGAGTGCCGAAGCTAACGCTCTAAATGTCAACATCAAATGTCTCCTCAGCTCTGACACCGAGTCAATATTCGCAGACATTCATGAAGTCGAATGCGCTCTCAGCGACCTCCCGGATGACCTGTGACCTTTGGCCGCACGAAGTTGAGCCGCCGACGACTGTGCTAGCTAAAATATTCAGACCAATTGCTCTGGGGGAGGCCATCTGGGCCTTTGGTAACCGCTGGATAAAGGTCTGATTATACTGTGTGGCTACTCTTGTGGCTAGCTATCTCAGAGTTAGCGGTGAGTGGAAAGTTATTTAGTCAAGTTGTTTGACTCAATGTGACTAGATTGAAACATGCATAGAAGATAAAATTGCACATATCCCGAGGTGCATTTCATGTGTATAAAACTGTTGGATTATTACAGAGGTATGCTACAAAACATTGAACGTTTACCTTTGGATAATTATCTTTCCGAGGCATTTTTACCCTTTATATTTCAAGATTTGTCATCTACATATATAATTATTGTAACAGTTATAAGTACTTCTAACAAAACCATAGCATAGTTCTGGGCAGGGCTGCGTATGATAGGTAGCCATAGTTCTCGTAACAGAACATAAAATTCGTAGTAGCTTCCTCAGACGTATGAGAGGATCAGCGAATTGCTGGACCGGTAGGCAATCGAAGCCGCTGAGCCTGCTGAGCCCCACATCGACTGGACTTGTCAGATAAGCTGCCGTACTTCGGGACTCCACTTTGACCTGAATCCAGCGCGAGTGTGGTGCCTTCTCAGAACAGGATGCAGAGTACTAGGAACACGTCAACCTAATCTAAAGAAGCCCAGAGGAAGCCAGATAGAGGTACAGGAATCGGCTGCCAAGTCCCACTGCATCAGGATTGCTTCCGCAGTTACGGCTCGATGCATTGAATCGGAGATCGGTTACACATGAGTCCTTCGTTAAGAGTCCGTGGACTCGTCACGGTCAGTCGTTTGCTACGACAATCATCATACACCCCTCAGCTCACCAAAGAAGCCGGCTGCTGGCCCCACCACCTCAGATCTCAGGCCAGAGGTCACTCAACTCGATGTCATCGGGCAGCTCGTCGAGCCGCGGTACCAGATCTGACGTCATCAAATCTGACGTCATTAGGGGTGCGCACTCGGCGGCGGTGCCTGGATACTCGCGGTGTCGTCCGCGCATATCACAGACGACGTTTGTGAGTGCCATGATGTAGTTTTTGGCCAGTGTGAGAGTCTCGATTTTGGAGAGTTTCTTCTGGGTCTGGACGTGTGGTATGACTTGGCGTAGTCCCTGCGGAAGAAAATGCAGTTGTTAGAAAATAAAATTAGGTTTGCGTGTGCATGTGCACTGTGCAGGGACCAAGGCGCAGGGACATGGGATGATGGAGAACGCTGTGTCCTTCGTACCACGTTTGTTTTGAGAAGCGTAAAACCAATTAACAATAGCTCCACGTTGACCCCGAGTGGGCTACCGCACCGGATAACACCGCTAGCCGGTCAGCACTAAGGGTGTCAATCGGAACTTGAATCTTCGGAATTCCGATTTTGTCCAATGTCCAGTTCGGAATACGGTTGGACAATGACAGCAGGCTTTGGATAACTTTGGACAGTCGCTTGCTACACCTCAACATTTTTATAAAGTAATCGTGTTTAACATTGATTGGCTATTAGAAAGCTCAGCTTTCGATATGATTAACACCTTTGAGCTGGTAATGGTACATTAAAGGCAAATTAAATAACAGTGTTGAGTGTTAACTATTGCGAAGGTGTCGGGCATCTTTGGACAAATGGCTGGCTTGGACATTTTTGAACGGGCAATCGACGTAAGTATTGGACATTGGACGGACATTGGACATACGTTTTCTGAAATTGACACCAAGTCAGCACCCTTCTCAGAGTCACAGGTCGGCGAGAACATAGAGTTATGCTACACCACCACCAGTCCACACCAGTCCAACAGTCACTCTCCACCACGTCCATCAGATGACAACCCTAGTATATCCGCTCGTTTGGCACGTTATCGTGAACTGTTCAGTCGAATGAAACAAGAATTCACGGCGCAAAGACTCGAGGTCATGACGAGCCGCGACGTTATGGCCGATCCAGAGCTAGCCTACTACTTAACACAAAAAGCAAAGGATCGAGCCGTGGACGCAGCAAGTCCAGAGGTTCCAAGAAGGTCGCTAACACCATGTTGAAGAAACGCCGCGTTGTGAGCAAGAAGTCGTGCAAATGTTCCATCTCTCGTAAGTCGTAACAATCATACGACAGTTTTGGAATTTTGTTGTGCTTTTCACCTGCATAGCCTGAAATAAAATTCTACGAAAAAAATTAGCAATAGTAATACACAGGGACATATTGGATAAAATTTTGTTTGAGAGGTTGATTAGGAAGCATTCATCAATTTCCAGATTAAAGAGGCCGTACTACATCATAAATCTCGCTGTTGGACCGAATCAATTTATAAAACACGTAAATTAATGGTGTTAATGACACAAAAACTAAAAGTTTCTGACATAGTCAGCGAGACCGCTCATTTTCTACGAAAACCGACAGATGGAAAGAAAGAACATGCGTTGTGTCCTCAGATCTTGGGACTTTTCACATCCTGTTACGACATTACAAGTTTGCTTAAACTGATAAATGCTAGAACAGATATTCAGATAGGAGCTCATTGGAAATGATACCAGTTGCGTTGATACGCGAGACTTCTATAATAACAATGTTATTTCATTTGACGAAGTGCAATTTCATATCAGAACTTCAAAAGGCCTAGAATGTTGGAAGGTAAATACGCCCGGTTATATATGACAAGATATAACCGGTTTTTCCGCGACACTACGAGCGTCTTCTCTGGGTCGGCCCCGGAGCCGGGCCGGCATCTGCGAGCAGCGTTCGGCGGCAGGCGGGCGGCCGCCTGCGCCCCCGGGCGGCAAGGCCGCTAAGGCGGCGGCCTCCTCTGATTGGCGGAGCGACTCGTGTCACGTGACGGTGACGGCGCGGGGTTTGAGTGCATTTGCGCGGTCACTCTGTTCTAAGCCGCCCGGTCTGACGCAAGTCAGCAGTGTTCTCGCTCTGTAATGTTTTTGCGTTTACTGCGGTCGTGTTCAGTGGAAACTGGAAGACATCAAGGGGAGTATAGGTTCAGTTTTTATATAAATGCTATATGGATTGACGAGGATGTTTTTTTTTCTTTCGGGGTTTTTGTTTATTTTTTACTGGTTTGTTGTTTCTATCTGATTTTTTTTTCATTTTCGGCATGAGGTTTGGTTATTTTGTGCTAATGTTATGCTATCACGGTAAGAAAAGGGTCGATGAGCAATGGGTCGGCAAATGCCCGGTATTATAGGTTCTTTGAAGGTTAGATAAAACAACGAAACTTGGACTGCTGGTAGGAATAGTCTTGGTGTGTTTTTTCAGATTTTGGGAGATTGAGTGTAGGTATTTGCTAGGTGAAACATAGCTGTAACTGTTTTTTTTTTCTTCCCTGGAACGGAACGCCCGGACTTTGCCATTCTACACTCCGTGTGAGTGAAATCAGCTCATGCTTTCTCGGTGTAGCAGCTCAGAGTGCACGGCCTGGCCGGCGTAGGGTTTGGTGGCCACGTGGTGTTGGCCGGTGGTTGTGCAGAGAGTTGGTAGAATTGCCGTTTTGTGGTGCCTGGTGTTGGTTGAACTGTGGTTCCCATACAGGTGAACGGTTACTGGCGTAAGGTGTGCCAGGTGGGCGTACCCCGTGGAGAATGAGCTGCTGGTGATGTTGGCTCTGTCCGAGCGTGTCCGAGCGGGGTTTTCATTAGTGGGTTAGGGATTGTTGATAACAAGGGTACCAACTGCCGGGTGAGACTTGAGAGGGTAAATGGAGTTCATTGTAAGGATAACCAATGCAATGGTATTGGTCTAAGATGGCATTGTTATCTGGTGTTAGGTTGGGATGAAAGGTTTAGTGGGTGATACAGAGGTACAGAGGTGATGATACAGTGGAACCCAGTTTGGGTGTGATAAGTCTCGGCGGACTAAGATATTATGGATTAGATGGGGAATTATGTAAGGTGGTTTTGGGATGCATTAGCGATAGCCTAGTAAGTTACAGGCTATTACCCAGAGGAAGTTTTCACACCCATGTTTAAAGGCTGCAGTAGGTATGCCATTTTCTAGGATGCAGGTTTAGGATAGCCCGTGATTGTGTGGCTCTCAATCTGCATTGAGGTACGGGTTAACTGTGTTTCGTTTTTTATGGTAGTGGCGTTTGTAAATAGTTTTTTTTTTTTTTTTTTTTTGCCAGAGTAAGGTGCCTTCCTTGTCGTTGGTCAATAGGGCATTGCCAAGGCATGCATAAGCGACATCTGCAATATGCATATCCTGCCGATATGTCATCACACGCATTGTCAGATAAATGGCGCCAGTATACTCGTATATAGCCCCTTTTTGATACGAGATTTCGGCTAAAAATGGTTATGTGACACAATCTATTTTTTTTTCTTCCATGGCTTGATGGTTGGCATCAGACTCTGAACGGCGACGGATCGGCACACTCGGCGGGGCCGGCCCGCTTTGCCAGAGTCTTCTTCGGCCGCTGGAGGATTCCTTCACAGCTCCCACGTCAGCTGAGGGAGTCCGACCCCTCCCAGCTCATCTTGCTCCAGTGGTGCTGCCTAGCAGGTCTTACGGGACATCGTCAGGTATAGGCCAAGGTGGCCGGGGTTTTGAAAGGTACGTTATTCCATGTACGGGGCCCGGAACATATCTGTTAATGGAGGTTCTAGGGGACCCGATAGGGTGGATAGTGAACGCTTGGGCATGGCGATATCGGCATTTTTGAGGGGATATCTGGTTCCACCAATAGGGACATGAGGGCAATGCTGGTGGAAAGTAAGATGCTAAGATAGTAATAACATTGTGATAAAATCGTTAGGCGAAGCCCGAAGAGAAAAAATGAAATCTTGTCAACTCTAACGTTAGACGTGTTTTCAACATTGGTTTACTGCTGCTGCTGCTGCTGCTGCTGAGAGTTTTTAAATCGTCTGTAACTATCTTCAAGGCGGTCTATTTCTGAGCAAATTATTTCTACTTGTCGCTATAGAATATGATATGACCTTTCTCCTGCAAAAACAGCGAATGAACATCGAACATACAGGTCAGTTACTATCATTAATAGCTAAAATGAAGTAAGTCAGTATGCGTTGTTAGGACTGGGAGTTCCCCTCAGTGTCCCAAAATTGTATTTTGGCTTGGGTGTCAAAGGAAAATTCATAGGGGCCCGGGAACGATTTTCAAGGGGGGCGAGCATATAAAATACCTGACATGATGCATATGAAACGGTGGCGTAGCTAGGGGTCTAAGGGGACACGTACCCCACCTCCCCATCGGGTTCAAAGGGAGCCTCGGGTCCGAGGGGCCCTGCGGCGCCATTTGACCACTGGTGGTTAACAATGGCCATATCGAAGGGCCCCATGGGGCTCATTAGAGCACCTCATGGACCCTAAATTGCCACACTAAGATCTCTTTAAGGGCCCCACGCCGGATTCTGAGGGCCTCTTGTGCCTTTTAAGGGCCTTTCAGTGGTCTCCACAGGCCCCTTACTGGCCTCTGAAAGTTCTTACCGGCCTATGAGGGCCCAGTTCTAGGGGCATTTCCCGCCTGTGATGGTCCCACAATTATTTTTCTGAGAGCCCTATAACGGCAACTGTGGGGGCCCTCGTCGGCGCCTATGGGGGCCCACACCGGTGTCTCTGAAGGTTTCACACCCCCAATTCTGAGTGCCTACACTAGTGCCTATTAATGCCCTATATCGGCGACTCTGAGTGGGGACCCGAATCCCTACCCAACACCGGCGCATCTAAAGGCCACCCACTGGTGACTTCTGAGGGCCCCACACCGGTCCGGTGACTCTCAGGGCCCCACCGGCGTCTGATAGTACCATGCCGGTCTCTAAGGACCCCGCAGAACTTCTTCTGCTGGCCTAAGGGCCTCTTGCCGGTCACTGAGAACCCCCTGCCGGCTTGTAGAGGGTTCGCGTCCGCAGCTCAGGCCCCACACCCGTCTGTAACGGCTCCACACCAGCGTCTATGAGGGCCCACAGCAACGCCTGTAAGGACCCTCACCGGCGCCTCTGAGAGAATCACACTAGCACCTCTGAGCGCCCACACCGGCACCTGCATGACATTCCCACACCAGTGCCTCTAAAGGCCCCTTACCGGCGGCTCTGAGGGCCCTACGCCGGTGATTCTGAGGATGCTAACGATATCCGAAGGCACCATACAAGCGCTTAGTGTCGCTGAGCTTTTAATC